AATCATCTTGGTTCATTTTATAGACATATGGAAACTGTAATCATAATATTGTGGCCATCTGGAAAATCCTTTGCAAAAAAAAAATATAAAAAAGGGTTTCAATAAAAGAAACAATTGTTACAAATGACTCATGCTTTTTTTCCCTATCATTGGCTGCTGACTGAAACAATAGAAAATAAATTGCATTTCAGGTAGATTTACAGTTAATCAACCATTAGTTGAGTCAGCATTATTTGCATGTTATACAAATGCTTGTTGAAATACGCTATTAGTGTAAAGTCATCCACATGTTAACTTGTTAGCATATAGTACATAGAGAATGAATTTCAGATTGTATGCTTCTGTTCCAATGCAGAATAAATTGATATGCTGCCAGACTAAGAACTTGCCTTTTTGCTTTTTATCTCTCCAATAAATCACTCACTGGGTTTAATAGTTTATATGCTAGTTAATGGTGGATCAAATCAGATACAAAATACCATTTGAGGATTTTGGTAAAATATTTGGAGGGGAAAAAATGGATTATCAGGTTTTAGTTTGTCTTTGTGTTTGTTTTGTATTGTTTTTAATTTTCTATTTGTTTTCTCTTGTAAATATACAAGACAATTTGGAAAATGTTTACATTGACATATTTTGTTGGTGAAACAGCATCATTAGATGCGTAATTTTACTTCATAAAAACAAAATCTACATTAGCTAGACAAAACATGATTGATTTTAAGTGTCTGAATATTTACTATTACTTTAAATGTTTTGTTATAGAAATCCTAACTTCTCTCAATTCAATGTTTTCATTTATTAAGGTTTACATTGATCAACCATGTTGTTTCACAATCGAAGCGACTATTAGAATATCACTGATATTTTAATACTGGCTTTGGCTGTTAGGCAACAAGCGTCTTTTTATTCTCTAATGACTATATCCAAATTGAACTGACACTGAAATTTTCAAAAAGAACTAGATAAACTTTTATCCAATTTACAGTGTGGTATGGATAAATTGTCTAAGTTACGCAAAAATAAAAATAACACTAACATCTCATTTTAACAGATATATTTACCAAAATTACACAAAAATATCTTGAAATACTGAAAAGTAAATTTATTACATAAAATTGCCATTGGCTTCAACCATAGATGACTTAGGAATCTCCTGCAACTCTTCTGGCCAGTCTCCTTGTTTAACTTGGTGAATGCTGCCATAATCCTTGCCTTCCGGTCATCTTTGTTCTTACAAGGAGATTTGTTGGTCTCTCACTCAACTGCACCCGACACATAATCAAAGAGGTTGCAGTCTGGAGAGTTAGGTTACCAAATTTAAGGGGTGATGTGGTCGCAAAAATTGTGTGACAGCCATGATTGGGTTCTTCTGTTTGTGTGGCAGAGTGCAGAGTTCTGTTGCACTTGATATAAGCCTCACCAACAAATTTGGAGGTTCTTACCAGAAAGATCAGTGAGTCTTTTGAGCTGCCGTACTTTAGTGATCACCATTAAACTCATCCAATTCTTTCCAAATCCTTTGCACTGTCCTCAGATTGATGCTCAAACACACTGAAATGTTCATATAGGAGCTTCCAGCACAAATGCCAAACAGTACAGCATGCTGTTTCCAAATTTCTGGCTGAGTGAATTGCATTATGGTGCTCTTTTTCTCACAGACTGTGCCCAACTAATTCTACTATACTGTGTAGTTCACAAAATCAAAAACAAACAATGCACGAGCACAAAATTAAAAATATAAAATGGTGATAATTTACCCATCGCACTCTGTATGATTCAATGCAAATTGAAATTGTACATATTTCAACTTCTTTTCATAACCATATATATGTAAAAAAAAATTGCATGCATTCTTTTCAATAAATGTGACCTACATTGATATAGGTAGCTACTTGAAAGTCATTTCTAGAACCCATTCTTCCCAACCCTACCTAGTCACTATAAAAGTTAGATTCTTTAAAGTGTAAATGTTGCAATTCTTTTAAAATTCATTTTTTTTAATTTTAGTAAAAATATAACAGCTTTTAAACAACTTACTGTTAAGATGAATACACTTCATCCTTTGACTGATTTAATTTCCTCCTGTTTTTAATATTTGTCATAAATGTAGAGTAAATTTAATTGAGAAATATGTAATCATTTATGCAATCATTTAACTTTCACATGTTTAAAGAAATTTAGTGAAAAGGAATTAGGTCTGTAAGTTCTAAAATTTGCATTTGTTTATCTCTTGTTGAAAACTCTGCTTCTTTAAGGAATCTCATGGGATTTTTTTTACCTACTTTAAAATCAATATTTTTGCATCAAGAAATTTCAGATGACAACATTTCAGTTGCTATTTTGAAAGTGTGATTCAGTGGATAATTTTTTTTTTTTTTTTTTTTTTTTTTTTCAGATGAAGCACACTGTGTTACATGAAGGATTATTCTACACAGTGCCAGAAAATCATGCATCCCAAATTTTGGGCGTAAAAGCTTTGGGCACCAATTTTAAGAAACAGGTAAGGCAACACTTGCATATAAAATGCACTTAGGTGAGCATTTACATTAAATTCTATATATTCTACTTTCTATATAAGAAAAACATAACTAAAAGCAATTATGTATTTGTATAAGATAAAGCACAAAAGATAAAGCACAAAGTAACTTTATCAACTTTATCAACTAATTAAGGGATATCTCTCGTATCGACTAAATAAGGGATATCTCTCGTATCGACTAATTCTTTCTTGTCATTGCGTGTACATTTCTTCTACTGAATCATGGATGAGTGGACTTTTTCAACACTACTCAATTGAATTAGGCAAATTCTTGAACAATAATTTTGAAATGATTGTGTATTTGGTCAAAACCATGCAAAATTATTTGTCTCATGGATATGTACTCTGTTTAGTCTTGCACAAGACCAAATAAGAGTAGGAAGATTATGTTGTGTGAGTCTTCCAAATGGAGAAGGGTTTTTTCCTCTTGAAAATCAGCATTTAAAATGTCAGATCTGACTGGGATTCAAATAGTAAATACTAGCACTAGTAGTAAATAAGAAACTATCTAATTCAAGCAGAGGCCCATTTATATAGCCAGTAAAATATCAATTGAAGCCTTGATGAGTAAAAGCTCTTCCGCCTTCCTTTTCACCTCGACTCATAATGCCAATATAAACATTACTAATTACTAATTACAATAGTAGCTTGACAAAGCAGATCAAACATTCCTGTTTGTAGGCCTTCTCTTCTCTCCTTCTCCTCCTCCTCTATTTTTTTTCACTGCAATTGTGCCTGTGCCAATGGTGACAAAACAACACTTAATTAAAAGCCAACCAGTTTATCCTCTGATTCAGCAAAGTGAACCATGAAAATGTCCTGATTAAATCTTATTGTTTGCTGATGTTTGCTTTTCATTTGTATTCACATTATATTTTTCTATTTTTTTTATTTTATTTTTTTTTTTTTTTTATTAGCTGATTACATTTTTTTCTTGTCTGTCTTTTTTCTTTTTATGTACCATATCCTTTCAGGACATGGGCGATCATGGCTCTCCACCTCCTTCTATCCCTTGCAGCTCTCAACAAGTTCCTTCCTTCTGCAACCTCCCCCAGATCACATTCTGTCATACACTTGCTTAAGCCTGCTAGGTATATCATGCGTTGTTTTCCTTTGTCTTTTTTCCCTCTATTCAACCTGTGAGTATCATATTCTCCTGGCCCTCCTTCCTCATTATGTGTTCCAAAGACTTTAGCTGCCTCTTCCAGATGTTAAGTATAAGCCTCCTCTTTTTTTTCATCCTCTCTAAGATCTCATCATTGCTCACACACTCAGTCCATGATAGCCTTAGTATCCTTCTGTAGAACCACATCTCCATTGCCTTGAGTCTGTTCAGCTTTGAGAACATCATCCGACATTCATTGCCGTAAAGGAGGACAGATGTCATGTAACAACTCAGTATTCTTTTATTTATTACCAAAGAAATCCTCCTGTCTCGCAATACTCTACCCAGTTTTTGGAATGCATTTTTGGCCATCCCAATAAATCTACAGATCTCAGTGTCACACTTACCATCCTCTGTCAAAACGCTTCCCAGATATTTAAACTTCCACATCTGCTTGATTCTAGTATTCCCAACCTGCAAATCACATTTCAGGCTCATCTTTTACTGATGACCATGCATTGTCTTCTTGTAGTGTATGCTTAGTTCTTTCTTCTCATTCTCCATCGCTACATTCTGTAGGAGATTTTATAATTTCTTTTCCATGTCTGCTATAAGTACTGTCATCTGCGTATTTTATGTTGTTAAGATTGTGGTTGCCAATGCTAAATCCCAGTAGGGTTTCCAATTCTCTCAGAATTGCCTCGCTGTATAGGTTGAACAGGTCGGGTGAAAAGATGCATACTTGCCATACACCCCTTTCTATTTTTTTGTATTCGCTGAATTCATTCCCTATGTGCATGCATGCTGTTCTTAATTTTCTGATATTTTCCCCCAAATATATGAAGGTTGCTGAGCAGTTTTAGCAGATCCTTTTGTTAAAGGCCTTTGCATAGTCTATGAAACATAGGTACATGTCCTTCTGCATTTGTATTGCTTTTTCTGATAACATTCTGAGCATGAATGTTGTGTTCCTTGTTCTGGTGTCTTTAACGAACCCACACTGTTCTCATCTTATCTCTGGCCTGATTCCACTGCACGCTTTATTCATCAGAATACGGATGATAAATTTTGTCACATAGCTCATTAGGCTTATTGTTCGGTGGAGTTTGCATTCGTTTGCACTTGATTTCTTAGGCATAGCTATGAAGATTGATCTGCTGAGGTCTTCCAGTATATCCCTGCTGTTGTAGATTTCATTTGTTATTTTGATGATCTTTTCTATGCCAAAGTCATTTAAGGCTGTCAGCATTTCCATTACAATTCTGTCTAGCTCAGTTGCTCTGTTTCTGTTATTCATACTATTTAGATTGTAGAATTTTCAAATTTAAGATTAATAGAACTTATCCAATCATAATATGTGGACATCATTGATCTTACAATTAAAGAAACAACTACCCCCCCAAGTCATAATAATCTCTACACTCTTTTCATTAGCTGTTGGTAATATGTGCTTCACCAGTGATACATATAGTTTTGAATTCAAAGTTGACCTTCTCCTAGAGTGGTTACCAACCAAGTTTGAAGAACCCAGTATACCTAACTATTTAACCCATAGCTGAAGGGTTTCATATTCCCATGGATATTTGTGTGAATGTGAATATAATAAAACTTGACTAGAATAAAAGATCGGCTCTCTGATTTCTTGTTCCTAGCTGCTATCCATTACTTCACTTGCACATCACCCATGGAAATGAATGTCATTTTCCCTGTATGAGCCCAAGGTTCAAATCTTCTGTTTAACAGTTTATTATTACAAAGCTAAATTTACAAGTCCTTAGGTGATAAAACTGCCTTGTTATCTTGTTCATATGTTAAGTATTGCAGATTTTCTAAGAACAAAGCTGAATATTTGCCCTCAATTGAAGTCTTTAGTAACAAACTGCTACTGATTGATGGTCGCAGCTTCAATCTTGGGTGTTTGTCAGAATTGTGTTGATGTTAATGACCCCAATTGAATCCAGTACATTTTGCAAATGGATGATGAGCTAAAAAGTTTTGTTAAACTCTTGTCTGTTTCCTGAATGCAAATCTATTCTGTTGTTAAAGAATCTTCTCAAATGAAAATGTCTTTAATCTAAATAAACTTACTAAATAGAAGTGGGAATCTTTACTTAAATACCTAATTGTGCCTTATATGAAACACTAATTATTAAGTTATTTTCACTGTAATGAGTTTGATTCTCCCTGAGTATTCCACACTTATAGCTTAAGCTTAGTAAACTTTAGTAAATAGATTTTGCTTTTCCAATGTTAGGCTCTGTGCTTTTGGCAAAGAATATCTGGCTGCTACTGTTTCTCTTCAAAGTAGCTTATTTTGATTTGTAATTTTGTTACTCGCAGATGAGTGCTGATTCATATTAATATTTGTAAGCAGCCTGCAAAGTATATCATTGTCATATCAAAATATGATTGAAATTTACATTCCAAACACCATGATGGAAAAGAAAAACAATGCACCAAAATTTTCATGAAATTCAAAACCATGATATATTTAATTCTCAAAAATGACAAGCAATGAGCAATGATTGAAAATAAACAAATGCATCAGGGCAATTTTTAAACACATTGGAACCTCCATTACTTTGTATGAAGACAAGAGAAAATCAATAAAAAAAAATTATCCAAACAAACTTTGTCTTTGGTCCTTAATAAAGCCAGCTTAAAATATATATGCATATATATCTTTTCAAATTATGCTGTGTCTTGACCAGAAATTCTGAAGATTGATATCCAATCAAGCTGAATGAGAGTTACACAAAGTAAGTGTTATGCTGCTTAAGAAAATCAATGATTGTGCGTATGTCAATATAAAAAGCTCTTTTACTGATTATTGTACTACCAGATGACAAGAGATATCACAATAGCAGCTTAGCTGTGTTAAAACATGTTTTGTTCTGGTGCAAAACAATATTGAAGAATAAGCCTGGAGTCACTTAATATATCCAGTTGTAAGAAAGTTGGGAGAAAAGTCAGTTCAGGAACAACTGTGAAGGAAATGTCATGCCAAAAAGAAATTGTTCTTAACTCAAGAACTAATTAACAAATTCTCTTATTTTTTTTTTATTTTTTTATTTTTTTTTTTTTGTGTTTTAAATACAAGTAACCACTTACCAATTTTGGGAAGTTGCTATATTTAGTACATCTGTTTGTCAATTAAAAAAAGAATGAATGGTTAAGATTGACATCTCTGCTCATATTAGAATTTTCATTATTGATAGCATTTTGAAAAGATTCATTCAGAATCACATTACAAACTCAAGCTGTGTATAACTGAACAGTTTAAATAAACAAAGTATATCACAGTAAATGTCTTTTAATTAAGAGTTAGGCATACAAAAATGACAGCATAAAAATATTAAATATTTGGGTGATGAGAAAGTTTACAATTTTAACAGCTACAAGCAGCAAACAAATAGTTGAATATATATGTGTAAAATATACATATTTATATTTGATAATTGTTTCATTAAAGATGACAGACAAGATACTACAATTAAGCTTTTTATTTAATTTTTCTTGTGTTTGAACAAGTGTTTTCTTGGAGCAGAATACAACAACTGACCAAATAAACATTTCAGTGGACCCTTGTGTGTGGGGGGGGTGTAAATATATAGTTGTAAGGTATGCTATATTTATCGGTTAAAGTGATCAATACCAGGGATTGAGCATATGTAAATATAAAAGTGGATATTGAAGTCCACACCCAGTGATGACATTCAGTTTCTGTTTGCCACTGGGTGTTGACTTCAATGTTCATTTTTATATTTGCATATGCTCAATACCTTGTATTGAGCACTTTAATCCACTTTTCTTTTTTTTTTTCTTTTTTTTTTCTTTAACCAAGAAACTAAATTCA